AAAAAGAATTTTGTTTGTTTAATTAAATTGTGGTTTACTGAATAAATCATTCTTTATTTTAATAAATTCAATTATAATCAACATTTTCTTAGGGATAAAAATCTACCTCAGTTTATGCTCTAAACCAGTGGTCACCAACCTTTTTAGGCCCAAGATCCCTGATCTCGGCCTTTATGAAAGACAAGATCTACCTATTGAAGAATTGATAGAAAAAGACATCCCAGATTGTACTTCAAATTTGAGGCATTTTACTTAGTATTTTAATTAGTGATGCACCGGTCATAGCTGATTCAGAATTCAGATTCTCTTTTCTTTATTTATTTCTTTTTAACTAGCAAATTGGCTGATTCTGATACTGATAGCAAATTTATTTATTGGCTTGGCTATTTGCTTTATAACAAAAAAACTGGCTTTAAACAAAAATATCTAGCCATTTGAAATTAGAGGCAACCACTGCATTTTAATCACGATCTGCACGGGCAGTTGTTTTTGATTTGATTTAGATTAATTTCAGGATTTAAAACAAAAACAGAATGGTCTGACTTTAGGTGTTATTTACTTATTTGCTACATAAAACATCTGCACGAAACAAAAACAGCAGGTCTGAATGAGACGCACTCTCTGACAGCAGGTGGCGCCTATGAACAGGGTTGCCAGATTTTCGCAATAAAACTAGTCCAATGGCGTTTCAAGGGGGGTTCCCCTGTAAAAATTGCATTCGGGGGTAAAATACACATTTTTCGGGGGGGATCTTCCAGTAACATTCACATTCCAGGGGCTAAATATCAGGTTATTGGGGTCGCTTCAACCCGCGGACATGAACGCGGCAACAGTGTTAAAGTAGCCCAATTCCGCGAGAAAACCGCGGACTTGGCAACACTGCTTATGAACCGACCACAATATATCGCGATCGACGGGTTGGCGACCACTGCTCTAAACAATAGGGAGCCCTTAAACATTACTATAATTTTAAGTTTACCCAAACTTCAAAATTATATAAGACGACCGCGTTTTTTCAGATGTATTTCCAAGAAAAAAACATTGTCTTATATTCGGGTCAATACGGTACTATCTATTTTTTAAATATAATAATCAACACTCAACTTAAAAAAATGTATGCAAACATGTAAATTGCACATAAGGCAGTTTTTAAATTAACTTTTAAATTATAACATTTCTATTTGTTGTTGAAATATATTCATTTACACAGTGGCTGTGATAACTTGTTTCATAACAGATTTATTTAAACTTACATAAAATAATTAAGACTAACAGGTAAAGTAAAATATAATGAGTATATGGAGTAATATTTCGCGAAATGCTCTTCTCTAGACTTCATTTCTGTAGCGAACTAACGAGCTGTGGACACTGATGGCTACGTGATATTTTGTTTAGAAGCTGTTTTATTGACGTCTTTCTGCGGTTGAAACACTGATTGAGTGATTGCATGAGGGGTGAGATGTTCATTCATGTTTATTTCATGTTAAAACTAGTAGTAAAGAGGAAGGGATGATTGCGCTGCCGTTTGAAACGAGGCATTTATACAGTGATCTGTCTCGCCACATCAAATGGCATTTATTGTTTGAATTTCTTGAAAAAAAAAAGCGGACATAATTTGAAAGATGAGACTTGATGAGACAAAAGTAACAATATATGAAACTGGAAGTTTCCAATGAAGTTCCACTAGTGCAGTGGTTAAAGCAATGACCAACCGAACCAAAAGTTCATTTTTGTACTGTTACACCCCTAACACATACACATAGATATGTACATATATATATATATATATACATATA